TCCAGCCTCTCCTCCCCGCCCAGTCTACTGGCCACTTTCTCCAGCCTCTCCTCCCCACCCAGTCTACCGGCCACTTTCTCCAGCCTCTCCTCCCCCTCCATCTATCAGCCATTTTCTCCAGGCCATCCTCCCCACTCTTCCAAATAAACTTCAAGTGGTGACAAAGAAAGCCTCGAAAGGATTTCGAGGGATTCAGGAGAAAAACGGTGTCTCTTTCTGTAAAGGAAACAGAGCCCTTCACTTACCGTCTTTGTCCTCTAAACCCATAAGCCACGATCTGCACAACTAACGAAGTCACCTAAACTTGTGTTCTGGTGTCATTTCTGTCACTATGACAACTACCTAACCCAAGCAGCTTTGGGGGGGGGGGACAAAAAGTTTATCTGGATTACAATTCCAGGTCACAGTCTATCAGTGAGTGAAGTCAAATCAGAACTTGAAGGCAGGTCTGCTTGCTAGTCCACATAGCCTTACCTCCGACCAGGGAGCTCAATTCCAAACCAAAGAAGTGTGGTAAGAACTATGGAGGGTGCTTAGCCAGCTTTCTGATATAGAACCACCTGCCTAGGGAATGGTGCCGCCCACTGTGGTCCCGGCCTTCCTACATCAATTCACAGTGGAGACCATCCCCTTCAGACACACCCACAGACTAACTTGATCTAGACGGCTCCTCGGTTGAGGTTCTCTTCCCAGACAACTCTAGTTTGTGTCAGGTTGAGGGTCAACGATAACTAGGACACCTTGTTAAATCTTAAACTTGTTAAAACAAGCTCTTACCTGGACGGGGTGAATCCTGGTCTTGGTGCTTCCTATGCCTTCAACAGTGGTGACAGCAGCCCCATGAAGAGAGCAGATGGGAACCAGGCAGGCAGCGATGGAGAAATGACTTCAAAGTTCATGCAGCAAAGTAAAAAAGAATTCACAGAAACAACAGTAGTATTGGAAAACAAAACAAAACAAAAAAAAGATGCATTTACAGGATTATAATTACTTTGACAGGAAGATAATTGAGGGCATGTTAAAATTAAATCATCAAATGAGTGATTTTGAATTTAACTATGTTTGCCTAAAAATAAATATTGTAATTAAGAAAGTCATTATCTCCCCCAAATTCTCTTGTTAAGAACAAGAGTTCAAGTGGTCTTGGTGGATACGCCCATTTCATCTGGTCGGTTGTAAAAGCTAGTTAAACACGGAGCTGTTTCTCTCCTGAGCGGTATCAGTTGTGTGTGGTTTTAGAAAAAGCCTGAAAGGCTTGGGAGGAAGTTAAGTGAGGTGACCTGTGAGGTGAGTCATGTGGCAGTTCCACCAGAGTCTCCGTCCCATGAATACAAGTTTGCCTGGTCCCCTGGGCATGGGGAAAGAGTAACTTCACAGGTGTAAGGAAGCAGGCTTTCACAGCTCTCTCGGGGTGGCAATTATTCAAAGGATCTTGGCTTTCCAGACCAATGGACTTGGGGGGCTCATGATCTAATACTCACTAGTTCTATGGGGGTGGTGAGAGCACAAATTCCCCCCAGAACCCGAGTTTCCATCGTTTGTAAAATGCAGGGCCAGCGTTGCTAGGACTCGGGACTACTCTGTGCCACACTCTTCAAATAGTAACTTATAAGTTGTGTATTTCAGTTCCAGCTCATAAAACCGAGGTTGTCTCAGATTCCTTTCTGGAGTGAAATACAGTCCACAGTGTGCCAGGAATAAATCCCACGGGGAGCCGGTCTGGAGTAGGGGAAGGGTACCTGATCTTTTTGGAGACGGGGTCATATCTTGAGACCATCACTGTGCAGGCCCCACAGCCACCTCCTCCACAGCCGTACTTTGTCCCCGTGAGTCGGACTGGAAGGGTTATCGTTAAGGAAGAAAGAGGAACTGGAGCTTTCAGTTCTTACCATAAAAAATTTCACAAATGGCAAGAATGGCATCAGGATGGGATATACCCTTTCTTTTCCTGTTGCTATGATAAAATACTCTGACCAAAAAAAAAAAAATTAGTTTGTTCTGACTCACAGTTCAAGGTACAGTCCACCATGTGGGGCGGTCGTGGCCCCAGAAACTGAAGAAGACACTGATGTTGCATCCACAGGCAAGAAGCAGATCCTGAATGCAAGCAGGCGTCAGTACTGTTTGTTTCCTCCATTTTACAGTCCAGGATCCCCCCTGCCACAGGACGGTCCCACCGACAATCAAGACAGGTCTTCCCGTACCGACTCATAAGATAACCTTCCACAGGCATGCCCAGAGGACACCTCTCAGGATTCTAGATTCTGTCAGGGAGACCATGGACACTTGCTGACACAGTACAGGCCTTCCTGAAGTACCCCACTCATCTGAAAGGTGATGGGTGCTCACTGTAAGTCAGTCAGATGCCAGGTTAGACCCATGAACCTCCAGAACAGCAAGGGAGATCCCCTTGGCCTCCAGAACTCTGAAGTCCTGGTCCTTCCTATCTAGAAAGACTCCGACTTTGGTTCCACATCAGTGTTTTCCCTTTATTTACATGAAGTCAGGAGGGGAAAGCAACTGAAAAGCATCCCAACCCTGGAGGATGGAGCATCCCCCGTTAACTGCAACTGAAAAGCATCCCAACCCTGGAGGATGGAGCATCCCCAGTTAACTGCAACTGAAAAGCATCCCAACCCTGGAGGATGGAGCAT